TTGTACCATATTAACAATACTTTGTTCATCAGAACAATCACCATCATTATCCATCTACGATGCAAAAAACCATTATCTAGTTAGAACTATTATAAGAAGTTAGAACTATCCGCATGTACAACAATTATGTTTAGAGAAACATTATAATTTAGTCCAAAACTCATATTGGGAATTAGCATAAAGTAATTTTAAAAACTAATTCTAAATTAACAAATGTTAAACTTGTAACCATTATTGGGACAAAACTAATTCTAAAATTACAAGTTTATAGGAAATTGCTTCTCACTAACAGCATCGTAAGCTTCATTTCATCAAACGAGACTCGGATCGAGGACCAAAAGCCCTTCGGATGAACAATCCAATCCTACCAACGAGGAGTGTGAAACGTCGGTTTTTCTTTTCAGTCATAAATAATCAAAGCGAACCATTACTCATATTTTAAAAAAAAAACATCAATTATAACTTCTTTCAAAGTAATGCTTCAACCAAGAAGCAATAAATTTAATATTTATCAGTCACAAAAGGTGAATTCTAAAAAAAAATTACAAACATTTCATACAAAACCAACGTGGAAATAAACTAATTTTTAACCCCTCCAATTTTGTATGAAAAAACCGACAACCATAAACTAATTTTTCTCAAAATCCTAAATTTTACTCTGAGTGAAAATAATGTTTTAGCATATCTCAAAATTGGCATAAACTAATTTTTCTCAAACATGTTCAGATCTGCTAAAACATTTTTCACACAAAACCAACTTTTTTAAGAACAAGCATAAACTAATTTTTCTCAAAATCCTAAATTATACTCCAGGTACAAAAATTTTTTAGTAGATCTCAAATTTGGCATAAACTACTTTTTCTCAAACATGTTCAGATCTGCTAAAACGTTTTTTTTTTTTTTTTGCTCTAAAATCTTAAAAATTTAACTGAACACAAACCTCATATCTGAATAGGGTTGGCAATTATCAGATAGTCCTCCACCAATTTCTCAGAAAATTAATCTAAATTAAACTAATAATCCGAAAATTAAAAAAATTCAATTTTCACTTTGATTTTGGAAGCAACAGCTTCAACAAAGATCAGATCTGACAAATTTGTGGCACAAGATCAAAACCCCTTCCCCCAATTTCTTCGATTACAAGGGCAAAGAAGAGAGCATGAGTTTATGGCAGGAGGAGAGAGGTAACTATTAGCTCAACAAAGAAATCAACGATGAAGTCAAAAATCCGAAGTGGCCAGGTTTTCATCGATTTCACTCGGATGAGGAAGGAATCGGGGCCGAAGAAAAAACCTAGGTAGCGGTGATTTTCCGCTTCGTTTCCCTCTTCAACCCTAGCGAAACAAAGCTGGGAAAGAAAAAGTGTGGAAATAAAAAAATCTAAGGTGGAAGGGAAAAAAACGACGTGGAGGGGTTTAAAAAGTTTTCCACGGGAAATAAATGCGAACCAAATAGCCCCTAAACAAACAAAAGAAATACTACTCCCGTTGCTTCTCACTTCACAATTTAAGAAGTTATTTCTTTAATCTATTTTTTAATTCAAACACTTTTGTTCATCCAGATGGATGCTTAGTCACTAAAATACTCTTCCAGTTAAAAAGAGGATTTCAAAGTTAATTTAAAAAAATAACAAAAGCGATCTATCTAAAATGACAAGATTATACTAAGGAGCTGTTTGTTACGCCATAAGTAAGAAAACATGATTTAAAGAAACCTATTTCTTATTCTAATTTCGTTCTTTATTGCTTGGTTGGCAATAAAGAAATGGAAACAAAGTGAGCTGGGGCACACAAATGTGGTAAAAAGTATGCTTCAGGGACATGGTTTTTTTTATAGGAGTCCATCCCATGATTTATTATTATTATGGTTATTATTGTTATTACTAGGTTTTATGCACGTACAATTCACGTGGTTAAATACTATGATTTAGTATGTTTGATTTATTTCCTTACTAAAATTTGTTTCTCGGTTATTTTTTATGGTTTTCGCTCACTTATGTCTCTAAACTTTAGCATTGTGATTATTTATTTTATTTAATATTTGTTTAAATGAGATACATCCAATTTAAATTTTCATACTGATAATTGAATTCACAGGAAACAAGTGTAATCCGAAGCCAATTTGAATTGTCATGTTATTGAGAACAACATGAAACCAAACTTGACCTGAAAAAGTATAACGTTGAAAAAGTGAAAAATACTTCAAAAATAGTGTTATAATAAAGCCAAAAAGACAAGATGATTGGTTAAATGTAGGCTAAAACAACACAAAAGAGAATATGGAGTTTGTTCCTAATTCTTTATAGACTTTTAAAAAAAATTATAAACTAAAGTTTATTACTAACTCTAGCACACTTTTATATGATGAAAGCATCCATATAAGCATAAAAATACTAAAAAAGTTTATGAAATATCTTCTAAAGATTCTTAATTTACTTAAAAAATAAACTATTATATACAGTATTCAGAAAATAGTATCTTTCATTCCTTCTGTTTTATTTTTTACTGAGATGACATTAGTTCTTCTCAATCTTTATCTTTTTTGATACTTTTGGATGTTGAAAAGGAACAGTAAACCTTAAATTGGAAGTTAAATTTATATATCTTAATGAAAGAATATCAAACAACTACTCTTTTCTTTGCTAAGACTTAACATTTTAGTCTTTTTTGTGATTTTTAATTTTTAGGGGTGTGTTTTGCAAATTTTAAAACTTTGAGTGTTTTTTTATTTTAAATTTTAATTTGTGTGCTTGTAATTTTCATATTTCATGTGTTGATAATAAATTTTTAAATGTTAGGATATTTTTTGCAACTCCAAAATTTTAAGGGTGTATGTTTGCAAAACTTTGTATTGTTTCCTGTAAAATTCAAACTTTTAGTGGTACATTGATAATTTTTAGTTCTAATATGTACTGGTTATAAGTTTTAAAATTCATGATTTTTTGTAATTTTTAACTTCTGAAGGAGTTTTTATAATTTTTATAACTTTAAAGTTATTTTTATAAATTTTAAATTTTCAGGAGCCTGAGGGTAAGCCCTTAAATTCATCTTTGTTGTTTGCAAGTTTTGAAATTTTAGAATTTCAATGTACTTTTTTATTATTTGAATTTTTGAGGGTGTTTTTATAATTTTAAAAAGTTAAGGGTGTTAATTATAAATTTTAAATTCTTTGGAGGCTGTTAATTTCTAGATTTCATATTTTTTGTTTTATGTTTTGAAATGGTAGGATATTTTGTGTAATTTTAAACTTTTGAGGGTATTTTTGCAGGATGTTTGTGTAATTTTAAACTTTTGAGGGTATTTTATACAATTTTTGAAACTTTTTGGATTTTTTGTACTACTTCATGTATTAGTATGTTAATTCTTTACCTTAACAAATCAATATTGTGGAGTTGTTTCATATATTTTCCTAATCTTTTTTTAAATTGTTGAGCTATAGGTAGTTCACATAGGATTAGAATAGGATATAATTATAATTAGGATAGATTAAGATTTAAATAAAATATTTAAAATTGTGAAGGGTAATATTGATCACGGAAAATTTTTTCCTAACTCATACTTTTAAAGGGAGTATGATATGATTTTAAAATGGGTGGATACCTAAAGAGTGGGACTCAGATTGGTTTTAGTTTTCTTTCCTAATATATTTTTCTTTTTTGCAGCCCTTAAGAGAAGCCCAACCCACAATGAAAAGCAAGAAAAAGAATGGAGGCCTATTATGCCTGAAAATTTAAAAAAAGAAATCGTCAAAGAAATAAAGTCCCTCTTAAAAACCCCAATCATATAAAAAATGTTGAGCCAAAACTCAAAATAAAATGGATCGTTGGTAAGTCCATAAAGCTTTTACTTTTTAGGTTGCAGGCTTTTAATAGGTAAAATATAAGAAATTAGTCCTTTTATACAGCTCCAATTAAAGCAGCATATACCCATTCAAAATCTATTTCCTTCTCATAAAACATCATGTGTGTTGAGCTAGACTATTATTAATAGTATTTAACATGCAGATGCAATGGTGCCTGTTTTAATATTCAGAATATGAAAATAAAAATCCGAACTAGTATGTGTGATCTTGTACACATGAAACTATTTAGAAATAAACTTTCAAAAGAATTCAACATCATTAACCTATATATCATATGTTGTAAAAATCACCATTTCAAAACTTTTATCAAGTTGCTTAAATTTTCACCTCTTGATACATGATTCAAAACACACCAAAATCCTTTGAAATTTCTGTTCTAAGTAATTTATGCGTAGTAGATCACATCTACCGGTATGAATTTTTATTTTCTAGCTATAAATTTTAGAATTGGATTGATAGTACATACATGTTGGATGCTATAGAGCTTGGTCATCATTTTAACTTTGGAATGTAATAAATATTGCAAAGAACTTTATGACTTTCAGTTCTCATCTCAAGTAATATTGTACCTTCACCTTTAATCTTCATCTTTCTGTTGTCCCCAAAGCGTACAAAATTATGTGTTTGCATCAAGCTCAACGAATTGCTTCTATTGCCCCTCAATATGTTTGTTAGCTCCGTTGTCCTCCATTTTCAAGATATCTACCACATACTCTTCTCACCCGTAGGCTCCTCCTGAAATGATAAAAACAAGGACTACTCACACTAGTAGAAAAACGCACAATCTAGACGGAAAATTCCATCTAGGTTGATCGGAATCCCGTCTAGGTTGATCAACCTAGACGGAAATCCGTCTAGGTTGATCCGTCTAGATTAATTTCGTCTAGTTTGAGTCAAACTAGACGGAATTCCGTTTAGATTGACAAAACTAGACGGAATACAACCTAGACGAAATTTAAAAATCCGGCTTGGCAGCTCCTGTAGCAACTTAGACGGTTACTATAGCAACCTAGACGAAAATTCTGTCTAGGTTACAATGCTACATTTTTTTTCTTTTTTTTTAGCGAAATCTACATTGCACGCTATATAATATCACATGTACATGTACACAATATTACACAACACCAAACATATTCATATCCAACACAATCGATCTAATTATATTGCAATATCAAATATAATAATATTCAAATAATACATTCACCAAAATACTAGAGAGATACATAAATTGTTTACATAGATAATAAAGAATACAATTGTTTACAAAACTTGATGAACTTTGCATAATTTATAGAATCCAATTGCATTTACTCCTTCAAGTAGTTGAAAGTTGTTGAAGCATCATGTTTCTTCAACAAGCTCATGTTTCTTCCTCCTTGATCCTACATTATACAAAATTCAACATCAATTAGTCCATGTCATGAAATACACTTAGAAAGCATTAACTTTGCAGAAGAACTAATAGGGAAATCAAAATATTGATTACTAGACTAACAGCAACATTTAGAGCAATCCATGTACACATTCTGAGCCTTTTTTTTAACAACTGATTTCCATTTCAGAAAAGAGAGGTTCAAGCAACCTTAGTTCTTCATTGTATTCAGCACTACTGCAGAAAATGATACACTAAATTATGATCAGGAATATTAGCATATTGCATGTATACCATTTTCTAAGACACTTGCTCCTTAAGCCTGCTCCATGCTGCAAAAGAGGGACAGAACCACAAGTTTTAATATTTCCCTATTGAAGAAAACCAATAAAATCTTTGCATTTATACATTCAGTAATATCATAGTACAATCATACTGGGAGTAGTAGTACATTTTCATCATAATTAAAGTTACTCATCCTAAATATAGATACAAAACATTTTAAGACATTCTATTCAGACATATTTTCTTTAAATGATACACCATAAAACACTATCTTTATTTTTCATTACTAAAAGTCACTGAAAGCATCATTTGTTCATAAATAAATAATCTGAACTTTATTCATAAAAAAATAAACGAAGAAGCATTATTCAGCACTATCTCAGTTTGACATGAGTGCTACATTTTCACCTGAGCACTGCATAGCTAATTGAGGTTAGACCTTTTACATTAAAGGTGATATTCACATCAGCAAATCTAGCATCTTACTTATAGAATTCAAAAGGAAAAACTATCATGTTTGCAGATCAATATTAAGTTTGACCTAAACTACACAGAAAGGGAAAGACATGGTATTAACTAACTGACACTAGTTTAGCACATAAAAATACAAGATGGACCTTACTATAGGTGAACAAAAACAAGAGGATTCATGTAGGAAACCTAAAAATATTTGGGTTGTTGCTGCAGTAGTTTTAAGTTCATAGTGTATGGAAGGTTCAAGACATTGGTAGACAGTAGTATAGAGATATGGTATTCTGAAGCTGAGCAATCAAGTAATGATAAACTAAGGAAGAAATCAATCAATTTTGCCAAACTAGACCCACATTGCAAACTTGAACAGGCAAATTAATGACTACATCTTGAAGCTGGACCATCCATGTTTCGTGCAAGTTTTTGAAAAAATAATTATTAAGTTGCTCTGTTATAATACATTATGATACATTCCCTCATTCCCTTGATATTTGGCAGCCTTCTAAGTCATTAAACCTTGCATAGTATATCACATGTTCACAAGGTAGCAACCAATAATTGATAGTAGAAGGTTACTTCTCTAATACACGATTTACATGACTTGATTACCAGTAGTTTAACAATCGTTCACTTCGATGTGTACATAAGAGAGAATTCAATATTGACATAGTATAGAAATTATTCCTTTAGGGTTTTGATTGGTAGAATATTGTGGTAGTCGCAATATATTTATGCATTTAATAACTTCTTTGCATCTAATATAGATTTACAAATTCATATGCACATACTCAAAGTAGACTGGATTTTGATGGGATTGTTCCTCATACTTTTGAAGTTCCAAATTCCCAATGAGCAAAATGGACCTAGAAATTTGAACAACATAAAATGACATGAAACAAGTTGAGATCTACATGCCTTTGTTTCAGGAACAGGCTTCTGAGCAAGTTCCGGCATTTGTTCCTGGAACAAAACATGCATCTTCTTCAACCTATCCAGAGGTTCTGCTTTCCTATTACGAAAAAACTTCTCAATACAGTTAAAATTTACCTAATTGCTAACATATTAATACACCAAAAACAAAAGAAGAGATAAACCTGGATATCCCTAGCTCATAAACTTCATTAGCTTCCACCAAATTCCCTTTTGCAACAAGGAAAAGGGCATATGCCTCGTAAAGAAGTGAATACTTCTGAAAAATTCTCTTCACTTCCAGAATAACCACAGGTTTTATGTAACTGACCATTTATCCTGGATAACTAATCATGTTTGTTGCAACAACTAATATAAAAGCAACTAACCAGCTACTATTCTTCACTAGTCATCTAGAACTTAAAACTGGAACTGGGATAATTTGTGGGATAAAATTTTAAGGTGTTAGTCACATAGAACTAGGAAATGGGATATTTTTTTATAGTGTTAGTCAAGTAGAACTTTTGTAGAACTAGAACTGTATTATTTTTTTGGTGCGTTAGTCAAGTAGAATTCTACTAGAATTAGAATTGGGATAATTGGTCATAATTATCCCACAAATTATACTACCTATATATATAACCATAAGTTCTCATCTCTCAAATTATCCCACACATTGGAAAGAATACAATTGGGGAAAAAAAAGTGAAACCCCACCTCCCTCCCTCTTGGTTAGTTTCTCTGCCTAGAAAATTTCTCTACCATGAAGTCAATCATCCGTTCATTTTTCTGTCTTTACTTTGTTTTTGTGATGATTAGATCTTTTATTATTATCTTCAAAATGTATTACTTTATTGATAGTTTTTTGACGTTAAATTACTTTATTATTATTTATTTGATCTAAGTTTACTCTCCACAACAGTGGTTTAGGTTAAGAAAATAGTGTTGGTGGGTTAGTGCTAAAGATATGCAGGCTATTTATGTTTTTTTATAAGTTAGAAAGTAATTTTGCGATCACATTGATGATTAGATGTTGAATGGTTAATGGTGATATCTATTATTATTAAATCGGCTCAGTAAATTGATTGGGATATTTATAGTTCATCTGTCGATCATCTGTTTAGCGGCCATGGATGATTCCTGTGTACATTTCATTTATTTGCTGATTTGGTTTTAGCGATCATGATGAGATTGGTCCAAAGGGTTAATGGCTGAAAAATGCTTATTTTTCTTTCTTTATGATGTTATGAGATTTGAACTTCGACATTTATGATCCTCCACTAGAAGCTCCACGAAATGTTGCTGATGCAGACGATGACTCCGATAAAGAAGACGAGATACATACTCAACGAGCAGCTGTAGGAGCTTGGAGAAATTCTATGGCAGATGCCATGTGGGATGATATAAGTCATGTGGGATGATGGAAGTCGAGTCACTCTAGGGATTTAGATTTTTATTTATTTATAAATTATTTTATTATTTGAGATGAATAGTGATGCTTTATTGCATTATATTTTATAGTTATTACTAGAATTTGCTTATTAATATTATATTATTTTTAATATACAATTATTAACAATAGTAATTTATATCCACCATTACCCCCACCAAATTATCCTACCAAATTATGCAACTTCATAATATTATCCATCATTATCCTACCAAATTATCACACTTTAAGAATTACCCATCATTGTTCCACTAAATTATCCCAGTGTCAAAATATTATCCCACTTTACCAATTATCCCAGTTCTACTTAAAAAGTTCTAGGTGACTAACCCCCCCTAAATACAAAAAATTTCAGTATTAGAGACTTCAAATCCTAGGTTATATCAGGAATCACCACCTAGGGTTTCAATTCTAGAAGAGGGGCTTACATATAGGATCCAGATCTTGAGGAACCTGACATCGTTCTGGCACCAATGATCGTCAGAGAACCTCTGAACGCAATTCTCCAAAAGGGCCTTGAGCTTTTGATCCGGCCCATCTGGGTTTCTCTCGAATTCGCCCAATTCACTGCTTATTGACCTGAAAATTGAACCAAAATCAACAAAATCAAAAGCCCATTTGAGGAATTGAAGTGGGTCAGTGAAATAGATCGCTTACTGTAAATAGGGGACGATGGGATCGGAGATAGAATAGGGGGAGGGCTTGATTGGAGATGGCCTCAAACAAGAGAAAAAAAGGAGAGATTAGTGATTTGAGTGACGGGATAATAAATGAAGAAGGTAATAACCAATGTTTAGTGATTAGTGATTTGAGTGGCGTGAGGCAGCGGCGGCGGTTTTATTTTCTCAGAGACTATGTAAAGCAGAAAATCGTTGAACTGAAGCATTGTCACACCACTGAACAAGTAGCAGACATATTCACCAAGCCATTATCAGGTGAAACTTTCATAAGGCTAAGAGACATGCTTGGCATAAAGACATTTTGATTTGAAGGGACGTGTTGGAATAACAAATTAAAATGTTAGAATAAATGAGGTTAATAGCATGAGTTTTAAAAGTGCAAGGGTCATAAGTTTAGAAGGTGAAGAGACATAGGTTATGGAAGAATAGGAGTTACTCACTCCTTTATGATATTTTATCTTTATGACATTAAAAGAGGAGTTTAATTTATGACTATTAGTATGCCTATACGTTTTGTTTTTGAATCCTATATAAAGGGCTATTGTAATCCTTATTTCATAAAGAAAAAAATTAAGAAATAAAAAGTAAGTTCTTTGTCTTCATTTGGGAGAGTTCTCAGTTCGAAAACTTAAGGTTCAACAAAAAGCTGGAGCCATGTAAGGAGAAGAAATCGATTCAACATTGAGAGACATATTCTTAGTTGTAGAATTAAAGTTATCATACATGTTTCTGATTCTATCATGCTGCAGATTCTTCCAGGATCGATGGAGACATTAGGAGTGAGAGTCTTAGAAGATCATGGAATTTGTCCTGAAGCAAAGTGGTATTGGATCGGTGTGGGTGCATTGCTTGGATATATTTTTCTCAACTCTCTTTTCACTGTGCCTCTCACATATCTCAGTCGTAAGTGGCGAACCAACTAATTTCATACGTGAAAAAATTTTATTTTGGAGGAACAAATAAAAATAATACTAAGGACTAATTTGCATGCAGCCTACGGCAAAGCTCAGCAAGCTATGTCAGAAGAGACGTTGAAGGAAAAGAATGCCAATACAACAGGTGAAATATCAGAGCCATCATCGAGAGAAAACAATCCCAATGTTCACTCTTCACTGAGAAGTAAGTCTGCCCCAATTTTATATATATATATGGGAAAAGTGAATCTAAGGTGACATCCTAGGCTCCCACCTAAGGACGCGGCCTAAAATCACATCATTCCCTAATTGTTTTTTGCGATCCACTCCGTTGAACTTGAGCTACACGTTCTTAGACCCAAACACATTAATTTTGGGATGAGCCAGTCGTGTTTTAACTCTTTATTGAGCCGTGCAAAAAGTTATATTCATTCGAAACCGTTAAAATTGTGGCGAATGGATGAATGGTCAAAACACGACGGGTTCATCCCAAAATTAATGTGTTTGGGTCTAAGAACATGTAGATCAAGTTCAACAGAACGGATCGCAAAAAACAATTAGGGAATGATGTGATTTTAGGCCGCGTCCTTAGGTGGGAGCCTAGGGTGTCACATTAGATTCACTTTTCCATATATATATATATATATGAGCAAGATACCTTAATATATGGGAAAAGTGAATCTAAGGTGACACCCTAGGCTCCCACCTAAGGACGCGGTCTAAAATCACATAATTTCCTTTTTTTTTTACGATCCGCTCCGTTGAACTTGATCTACACGTTCTTAAACCCAAACACACCAACTTTGGGGTGAACCCGTCGTGTTTTGACCTTTTATCCACTCGCTGCAATTTTTACGGTTTCGAATGAATAGAACTTTTTGCACGGCTCAACGAATGGTCAAAACACAACGGGTTCACCCCAAAATTGGTGTGTTTGGGTTTAAGAACATGTAGATCAAGTTCAACGGAGCGGATCGCAAAAAAATTTAGGAAATGATGTGATTTTAGGCCGCGTCCTTAGGTGGGAGCCTAGGGTGTCGCCTTAGATTCACTTTTCCCTAATACATTATACAATATTAGATCGTATTATATTTAATATTATAAATACTATAATATATATATATTTATTTTTGGGGGTTTGTAGAGAGAGAGGGGGAGTTTTCACCTGTTTGGGAGCTTTTTAGAGGGAGCGGGGAAATGAAAAAAAAGAGGGAGAGGCTTCCTTAATTGTTTTAGGCAACCTAGACAAAATTTCTATCTAGGTTGCATCAACCTAGACAGAAATTCCGTCTAGGATGAGTTTCCATTTTTAAAAAAAATATTAAAGCATGTAGTTTGTCAATCTAGACGAAAATGTTCATCTAAATTGATCCAAACTAGACGGAATTTTTCCGTCTAGTTTGTCTCAAACTAAACGGAAAAAAAATTATGTCTAATTTGTTCCGTCTAGTTTGTTCATTTTTCTACTAGTGTCAGTGTCATCTTTTTTTTGTCAATGAAGAATTTATTCATTATACCAATTTGTAAAGATTTATGTACATCCAGATACTCGAAATTGAGTAAAGCAAAACAAAAACGAAGAAATTTACAAACTTGTCTATCTAAACCAGTAATGTCATCTGATCAACCCCTAAATTACAAGGATAAAATCCAATTTTTATTTTCATTTGGTATAGAACTACTAAGAATGATAGTCAAAATATCCATTTTGATGCTCTTGATCAGCTACTCAAAGCTCCTGGATTTCTGCTAAAAAATTCTTCTGTTACGTGCAGTCCAAATGCAATATATTGTAGAAGTTAAAGCCATTCGTTTAACTTTTGTTTCAAGCCCTTTCCCTTCAGCCTTGTACAATACCAGTTCAAAATACTGCTCCTGTCACAAGCTCTCCAGTTGAAATGTAACCAGTCCATAATCGCATTCCAAATCACCTTTGAAATGCACATTCAAAAAACAAGTGGTTGTGATTCTCCATACCTTCTCCAGAGCATAGATTGCATAGATTAGATTGTATTATCCCTCTCCTCAATAGCTTATCTTGAGTAAAAAGCCTGTCAAGAGCAGCCAGCCATAGAATAAAAGTGTGTTTTGGATAATTCAAAATTTCCCACACCGGCAGAATATAGTTCAAAGAGTTTTATTTTTGAATTCCTGGAACAAGACCTGATAAGTTGTTTCAAATTCTCTTCACCACCACAAAAGCTCGGAGCTTTATTTCTAACTTTTAATAATTGTCTCCAAATCCATGAATCCCCGACTTACGCTTCCACTTGTCAAATAATCATGTTCCTTAGATAGGTTCCATGAATCCATTTAATCCACAATATCTCTTTATTTTCATGAATATCCCAAATTGTTCTCAAAGCAGTTGCACTATTCTAGGTTGTTGCTGAGAAAATACCCAGACCCCTATACATTTTTCCCAAACAGACTTTATCCCATGCCACAAGAGGGACCTTGAAAGCTTGATCCGTTTTACCTCATAAAAATTGTCTGCATAATTCATCAATCTTATGGAGCACATTGACAGGTAAGACATAACTATATGTCTAATAGAGTTGTACTCCTAAAATAACACTCTTAATAATTTGTAGCCTGCCAGCATATGAGAGGTCTCTTAGCATTAGATAGCTTCGAAATTGGCTGGAGATTTTATTAAAGAGAGGTTGACAATCCATGAAAGACAGTCTTTTGCATACAAGAGGGAGTCCCAAATATCTGATAGGCAAGCTACCTTCAGTGAATCCTAGAAACTTATGAATAGAGTTTTTGACAGAGATATCAACTCCTCCATAAAAAATAGAACATTTGCTAGAATTTGCGTCTAGCCCAGAAACAGCACTGAAGTTCTTCACACATTGATAGAGCTTTTGGACTGAATTAAGATCACCTTTACTGTATAATAACAGATCATCAGCAAAAATCAAGTGGTTGATCTTAAGTTTATCACATTTAGGATGGAACTTGAAAATCATGTCATTCTTTAGCAGATTGAGGCTTTTAGATAGATACTCCAGACCCAAAATGAACAAATAAGGAGAGAGAGGGTCACCTTGTCTTAGACCCCTCTCACCCTTAAAAAAGCCATGAAGAGAATCATTTAGGAAAATGAAAAACTTTGGAGAGGTAATACAAGTCATAATCCTGTTAATCATCTCCCTTGGGAAACCCAGACCAAGAAGCATTTCCTTTAAGAAATTCTAGCTAATAGTATCAAAAGCTTTTCTTATATCAATATTAATCATGACTCTAGGAGATACATGCTTCCTTCCATAGTTTTTGATCAGTTTATGAGCCAACAAGATGTTGCTAGAAATATTCCTGCCTTTGACAAAAGCACTCTGTGCTCCACTGATGAGATAATCCATTACTGATTGAAGTCCATTAGCAAGATTTTTTGATATAAATTTGTATAGGCTATTGCAACAGGATATAGGCCTGAAATCTGAGGGAGTTACAGGACACTGTACCTTAGGAACAAGTATAATAGAGATGGAATTGACTGCTCCCAAAAGTTTCCTAGTTCTAAAAAATTCTTCAATAGCTAATGAAACTTTATCTCTAATGATCGACCAAGCTGACTTATAGAAAGATACACTATATATAGCCATCAGGGTCAGGTGCTTTGTTGTCTGACATGGATAAAACTACACTTTTAATTTCCTCTCTTGTAACTGGCGCTGCTAAATTTCTGACTTGATTTTCATTTAGGCAGGGACTATTTTGTATAATATTGTAGTTTGGAGCAGATGTCACTATGGCAGTCCCAAAAAGATTCTTGTAGTAGGAGATTAATTCATTTGCAATATCCTCAAAATGAGTAATTCTGCTGCCCATATTGTTGTAGAGAACTGTCACTCTATTTTGATGCATGTTTGACTTAATAATAGAGTGGAAAAAATTTGTACATCTATCCCCTTGAATGCTCCATTTTATTCTTAATTTTTATTGATAAAAGGAAAGCTCATAGTCCAGCAGATTATTAAAGGCAGATAAACAAATTTTCTCCTAATTGATTAAGTTAGGATTGGAAGGATCATGTTGCGATTTTTTTTTTGAATATCCTCGAGTGCAGATTTTGCCTTGAGAACGCGCTCACTTATGTTAGAGAATTGCCTTTTGTTGAGATCTTTAAGAGAACCCCTCAACAATTTTAACTTGGAGCAGACTGAAAACATCTTGTAACCTTCAACATGAGATTTCCATATAGATGAGACAATGGGCAGGAAATCTG